GCACAGCCCAGGGTCCCAGTGCTGGGCAAATAAATTCTGGTTGTAAAAACCAGTGGCGGTTGGGTGGTGGAAGAAACTGCCAGTCTCTCAGGATAGCCTGTTTTTGTCCTAGAATGTGTGCAAACCCACCCACTCGGGGATTCAGCATCAGAGCAGCAGCTAGAAGGGCACCAGTTGCAAACGGGAAGTGGGGGAAGTAACTGGAAATGGAGTGAGAGCCGAGCGAGTGGCATTATTCCCTTTCCAACCCTTCCCCTGCATACAGCACTACAAAGTGATGAAGCGGATTGCCCCACTCTGGTGACTAAAAAAGCCTCTGCCCCTTATAATGTAACAGGGGCACCAAGACAGAGTCAAAGCAGCTCTTCCTAATGCACTGAAACAAACACAGGGAGGCTACCAAATTGAGGAGATAGAAATATGACCCAAATGAAAGAACAGATCAAAACTCCAGAAAAAAAAAAAACAAACTATGTGAAACAGAGATAGCTAACCTATCAGATGCAGAGTTCAAAACACGTAATTAGGATGTTCAGAGAACTCACTGAATATGGCAAACACATAAAGGAAGAAATGAAGGCTACACTAAAATAAAAATTTACAGGGAAACTACAGCAAAGGGAAGGAAACCAGTGTTCAAATCAATGATTTCAAACATAAGGAAGACATAAAGAGTCAACCAGAATAGAATGAAGAAGCAAGAATTCAAAAAAATTAGAGGATAAGAAGACTCTGGGACATCTCTAAACGTGCCAACATCCAAAATCATAGGGATGCAAGAAGGAGAAGCAGAAGAGAAAGAAACCGAAACCTTATTTGAAGAATAATGAAAGAAAATAATGAAAGAAAATTTCCCTGTTTTGGCAAAGGAAAAGGACGTACAAATCCAAGACGTACAGAGAGTCCTAGACAAGTTGAACCCAAACAGAGTCACACCAAGACACATCATAATTAAAATACATCATAATTAAAATTCCAAAGGTTAAAGAGGGAATCTTAAACACAGCAAGAGAAAAGAAGAGAGTTACCTACAAAGGAGTTCCTATAAGACTGTCAGCCAATTTCTCAAAAGAAACTTTGCAAGTTAGAAGAGACTCGCAAGTAGTATTCAAAGTAATTAAAAGCAGGGACCTGCAACTTAGATTACTCTATCCAGTAAAGCTATCATTTCGAATGGGAGGACAGGTAATGCACCTCCCAGACAAGGTGAAGCTAAGGAAGTTCATCATCACCAAGCCATTATTACATGAAATGTTAAAGGGACTTAGAAAAAGATAAAAGCTGTGAACATTAAAATGGCAAAAATACACAACTATCAACAATTGATTCTAAAAAAAAACAAAAAACTAAGCAAACAGAACAGGAACAGAATCACAGAAATGAAGATCACACAGAGTTATAAGTGGGAAGGGAGAAGGGGGGAATGGGGCAGAAGGTACAGGGATTAAGAAGCATAATTGGTAGGTACAATTAAGGTCGGGGGAGGTTAAGAATATTATTGAAAATGGAGAAGCCAAAGAACTTACACATGCATGATCCATGGACACGAACTGAGGGGGGGGATTGCTAGAGGGAAATGGGGTGCGGGTCAGAGGGGGGCAAAGGGAAGAAAATTGGCACAAGTATAATAGCATAATCAAAATATACTTAAAATAAAACACCTGGCTTATAAAGAAAAAAACAACAACAAAGGCTATAATGAGACATAAAAGGACCCAGTGATTCCACTTTGGGTAATTATTTAAAGAAACCCAAAGATATGTATCCCTATGTTCACTGCAGAATTATTTAGGATAGCCAAGATATGGAAGCAACCTAAGTGCCCATCAATAGACATGGATAAAGTTGCTGTGGTATGTATACACAGTGAAATATTAAGTCAACCATAAAAAAGAATGAAATCTTACCATCTGCAACAGCATGGATGGATCTAGAGGGTGCTGAGTGAAATAAGTCAGACAGAAAGACAAATACCATGTGATTCCACCTTATGTGGAATTTAAAGAGCAACAACAAACAAAACAAACAGATTTATAGAGAAAATGTTGATGGTTGCCATTGGAAAGGGAGATTGGAAGGCAGGGTGAAAAAAGGGAAGGGATTAAAATGGTAGTTACTAAATAGTTGTGGGGATGTAAAGTACAGCTTAGGGAATATAGTCAATAGTATTGTAGTAATTGTATGGTACCAGATGGGTACTAGATTTATTGGGGTGATCACTTCATAACCTACATGAATGTGTAATCACTGGGTTGGTCACCTGAAACTAATATTGTACATCAACTGTAATTTGAAAATTAAAAAATTAAGCAAAAAATAGAAACATTTAAAAAACTGCATTTACTTACTCCATATGTTTTTCCTGTATTTTATGCGTTTATGATTGTTCTTGAATATGTACATCATTCTGGTATGTAAATACACTTTGCCTCCTTGCGCAACCAAAAGAAGGATGACAACAAATTTAATAACAAAAAACAACCAGAACTGCCAGAAAATTGAACTGTATGGAAGTCCGACAACCAAGGAGTTAAAGAAGAAACATTCATCCAGGCTGGTAGGAGGGGTGGAAGTGGGCAGCTGGGATGGGAAGGCAAGGCAATGGCTGGAGGGATAGGTGGGTGAGGTGGCTTCTGGTGGACTGGGCAGTCCCACATTTGTGTACAGATAACTGGGAGGAACAACTAAGGAGCTAGACAGACCATGCAGCCTAGGGTTACAGCATTGGGAAATAAAGCCTCAAAACCTCTGGCTGTAATACCTCTGGCTGTGGGGGTTGCAGTAGCAGGAGAAACTCCCAGCCCCAAAGGAGAGTTCGTTGGAGAGACACAGGTTCCTAGAATGGATGGACACAAACCCACCCACCCAGGAATCAGTAGCAGAAGGGCCCAATTTGCTTGTGGGTGGTGGAGGAAGTGACTGGAAGTCGGGGGAGAGCCCACTAGGCAGTGTTTTACCCTCTTGAGCCCTTCTCCCACACACAGCACAGCCCCACAGTGATGTAAGTTGCCCTGCTCTGGAGAATACCTAACGCTCTGCCCTGAGAATGTGTTACATTCTCTTGTTAAGAGCTTCGAGAGAAAAAAACATGGCCCAAATGAAAGAACAGATCAAAGCCCCAAAAGTAGAAGTAATCAGTGAAGAAATAGCCAGCCTATCAGATGCAGAGTTCAAAGCCCTGGTAATCAAGATGCTCACAGAAATTACTGTGTATGATGCAAAATCAAGGAGGAAGTGAAGGTTATGCAAAGTGAAATAAAGCACAATATACAAGGAACCAACAGTGAAGGGAAGAAAATCAGGACTCAAATCAACAATTTGGAGCAGAAGGAAGAAATAAACATTCAACCAGAACAGAATGAAGAAACAAGAATTTTTTTTAGAAAATGAGAGGCTTAGAAACCTCCAGGACAACTTTAAATGTTCCAATATCCAAATCATAGGAGTGCTAGAAGGAGAAGAGGAAGAACAAGAAATTGAAATTTTATTTGAAAAAATAATGAAGGAGAAATTCCCCAATGTGACAAAGGAAGTAGACTTCCAGGAAGTTCAGAGAGCCCCAAAGAAGTCGGATGCAGGGAAGCACACACCAATGTACATCACAATTACTTCACCCAAGATTAAAGATAAGGGGAGAATCTTAAAAGCAGCAAGAGAAAAAAACAGTTACCTACAAAGGAGTTCCCATAAGACTATCAGCTGATTTCTCAAAAGAAACCTTGTAGGCCAGAAAGGGCTGGAAAGAAATATTCCAAGTCATGAAAGGCAAGGACCTACATCTAAGATTACTCTATCCAGCAAAGCTATCATTTAGAATGGAAGGGCAGATAAAATGCTTCCCAGATAAGGTCAAGTTAAATGAATTCATCATTACCAAGCCCTTATTATGTGAAATGTTAAAGGGGCTTATCTAAGAAAAGGTGAAAAATATGAACAGTAAAATGACAACAAACACAACCGTCAACAACCGAACCTAACAACAAAAACTAAAACTAAGCAAACAACTAGAACAGGAACAGAATCACAGAAATGGAGATCACATGGAGGGTTATCAGCAGGGAGGGGGAGAATGGGGAAAAGGTACAGGGAATAAGAAGCATAAATGGTATGTGTAAAATAGATAGGAGGAGATTAAGAATAAGAAATGGAGAAGTCAAAGAATTTATATGTATGACCCATACACATGAACTAAAGGGGGTGGGGAATGCTGGTGGGTGGGTGGGGTACAAGGTGGAGGAGAATAGAGGGGAGAAAAAATGGGACAACTGTAATAGCATAATCAATAAAATATTTAAAAAACAAAGAAAATATTCTTGAAGCCAGCTCATGTCTCAGACCAAAAATAATGCCTTGTACATAGTAGAGGCTTTAATAAACATTTGAAGATGTGATCACATGATGTAAGACACACAAATATTGTAAGGAAAACAATATTAAAAGAAATCTCGTATGATTTCAATGTGAAAATTTTTCTTTAAAAGTTTAAAAATCAGCCTTGGCTGGTGTGGCTCAGTGGATTGAACGCTTGCCTGCAAACCACAGGGTTGTGGGTTCAATTCCCAGTCAGGGCACATGCCTGCGTTGAGGGCTAGGTCCCCATATGGGAGAGGTGCAACCACATATTGGTGTTTCTCACCCTCTCTTCCTCCCTCCTGCTCTCTCTAAAAATAAAATGTAAAAATCTTATAAAAAATAAGTTGAAAGAGCAGGTAGCCTATGATTTTGATGGAGATTCCAAGCAAATAGAATTTCAGGCAGCCTAATGTACCCTGCTTGCATAACTTGGGCCTTCTTCATTCAGGGCAGTTTCTTGATCCTCTGGCTTTGCTCATGACAGAAATTATTAGGTCAGAAGGTCCCAGTGGCGGTTGCTCCCTGAATCCCCAAGACTGATCTTTTGGCCACATGCCCCAAAAGGGTGCACACCTGCTCTGCAGTGTAGGGCTTTGTCTCTGGGCAAAAGCTATGGTACACAGCACACCAAAGCCTCTTCTTTTCAGATATGGCATAGAGATCGCCTCTTCCACCAGCATAATGGGGCCAAGCATCCCAAACAGGACTCGGGAGGTACTTGTCAGCCACCTGGCATCTTACAACATGTGGGCCTTACAAGGTATGCTTGGCACTTCCTATGGGCCTAGGAGTGGGATGGATAGGCTTGGGTGACAGGAGTGCTCTGGGGTGGCTCTGGTGCTAACTTTGGTTGTCTGAGGGGACAGCACGCTCACCCTTCCAGGAGAAAGTCTCTTTTCTTCAGGAGTTCAAGTCTCACTGACCTTGGCCCAGTCCCTTGCCTATCTGTGAACCAGTCACTGGGTGGGGGTGGAATGTTGTGCTGGGCCAGGTTCTGGCCATGTGCCCACCACAGGCAGGAGCAAAGGAGGGCTCTCCCCCAAGGAAACCCAGATGCTCTTGGAGGATGAAAAAGGGATCTAGAGTTGGCCAAAAAGCCGTAGGCTCTGTGACATGTTTCCCCCACCTTGTACCTTTGTATCATAAGGAGGAGGTCCAGCAACTGCCCTTGTTCAGCATGGATGGTCCCTGGGTCCTGATTTGGCTTGTGTCCCTGCAGGGATTGAGTTTGTAGTGGCACAGCTCAAGTCTATGGTGCTGACCCTGGGCCTGATTGACCTGCGCCTGACGGTGGAGCAGGCCGTGTTGCTGTCCCGCCTGGAGGAGGAGTACCAGGTGAGGCTGGCCCCCTTTCCCTGCCCCTCCCAGCTTCATTCATTTACTTATTTTCCCTTTTTAATTTAAATTTAATTTGAATTTATTGGGGTGACATTGTTTAACAAAATTCTACAGTTTCAGGTGCGTATTCTGTAATACATCATCCATACACTGCACCCCCTCCCAGATTCAGACTAACTGGGGGTGTGGTTTGGCTAACCCACCTGGTTTTACTTTCTGTACGTAACAGAAACTGCAAAAAATAGTAATAAAAAAGAATAACAGTAAGGACTACCACTGTGTTCCAGCATTATGCTCAGTTAGGTCTCCCCTTACCACCTCACTTCCCCTTCTAAACAACCTAGTCAGGTGGGGGCTGTAGCTACCCCCGTTTTACACAGGAGGAAACCGAGGCATAGGTTACACCCCATAAAATGCTGGAGCCAGTGTTTTGAAGGTCAAGGCCTTCACCCCATGGTGCAGGTTCATGAGCAAATCAGTATCATATGGGACTGGCACATCTGCCAGACAGGCCTGTTACAATGACTGGGAGCCACACCTGTGCTCTTGGGAGACAAGAGCCTCCTACCCTGACACTGACACAGTGGGTCTCTGACTGGCAGGGAGCCAAAGGGAGCTGCTGTTTGTGTGCACATTCTGGTCCTGGGGGCTCAGGATTGGTAAGGCTTTGCTATACTGTCATTCGCATTTTTAATCTGAGATTTATGGCATCTTTGCAGTCTTTGTTGTTATTTCTCCTACCTCATAAGGTTGCTGTTACAGATTGGCTCCTGGCACATGAAACCCTCCTATAATGACAGTATTGCCCACGACTGTCAAGTCATCTGCTCAGAAGAATGCCTAAGGAAAAACTTTCTAGATCACAAAAGAGGCTAGCTCTTCCCTGGATGTTAGAGACAGTTCGGTGGAACAGGGTGGCCTGGGGGACAGAGGCTGTAGGGGTTCTGAGAGGTCTGAAGCCAGAAAACCTGGTTTCAGGTCTGTGCCCTGCTTTTGACTCTGGGACCTGGACCGGGCCTTTGTCTTTTGAACCTCAGATTTGATCTGATGCAAAATGGGTAGTAACCTGGATTATGTATGTGAGTCCTCTTCAGATGGCATAGTACAATTGTCCCAGTCAAGACGAGGCCACCAAGCAATGCTGATAGCTTCTGTGGCATGGCGCGTTGAGTTCCCAGACGGCCAGGGAGGAGAAGCAGGCGTGGCCTGGAGTCTTGACGGACATCTGGACAGCCGCACTCTGCATCTGGGTTCTCTCTGGAGCAGTTCTTAGAGTCGGCAGAGAACCTGCCTCCCTGCCCCGAGCACAGAGCAGAGTGGCCTTCGCAGGGTGAAGCTCCCCAGGAGTCAGAAACTAAGTGACCTGAGTTGATTGTTTTGTCCTACTGATGGGGGGCCACATGCAGCCCAGCCTAGTGGGGCACCTCATTGATGGATGACATTTTATAGGCTAATCATGCCTGCCTCTTTGTGGGAAGAAATGTGAAAGGGCAGCGTGCAGCCGGGTCAGGGGCACACAGGTGGTTTTTGTGTCTGACCTGTCCATAGTGGGAACCACTGGCCAGGCCTGGACTGTACTCCCTAGACCATCCACACCCCGTAGGACACGGGTGCCTGCTCCGCCACCTGTGTGTTCTCACCTGCTGCTTTTCCTACTGTGTGTGTTGTGTGTGTTTCAGCAGGATTGGAGCCTATGACCCTCTGTCCTGCCATAGGATGGTATGTGACTCTGGCTGGCAGGCAGCAGGGCACTGAGTTACTCCCTCAACACCATTTTTTGTCCTCCCCTCAGATCCAAAAGTGGGGCAATGTGGAATGGGCCCACGACTATGAGCTCCAGGAGCTGCGGGCACGCACGGCCGCTGGCATCCTCTTCGTCCACCTCTGCTCCGAGAGCACCACGATCAGGCACAAGCTCCTGCAGGACTGAGGCCCGGGGTGCGCGCTGCATGCCCAGAGGATGGAGACTCCCTCAGCCCGGGGGCACCGTGGCATGGCCCACTTGACACTGCCCTGAGAGGCCTGAGACAGTGTGGCTAGAGGTCAGCTTGAGTGCAGCCTGGGGCCCCTGCCCCAGCCAGCACGAGGTAGGGACAGGTTATACAAATGACTTCTCTCCTCCTGATTTTATTAAATACTTCTCTACCTGGGAGAGGTGTTGATCCCTGTTTTCAGTTGCGCCTCCACACATCTTCATTGCTTTCGTTACAGTAGTGCCTCACTGAGGGCCATAGCTGTCCCCCCATAGTCCCTTGGGACCTGCAGCCCGAGGCTGGGAGCCTCACACTGTGCCAGTCATCAGGTCATGCCTTGTGTGGCCTTGACCCTCAGCCCAAGGGCTTTTTTCCCTGCTTCCTAATCTTTTTTTTAAATACTCAGCCAAGGATATGTTTATTAATTTGAGAGAGAGGAAGGGAGAGAGAGAGATCGATGTGAGAAATATTGATCAGATGCCTTTAGTACACACCCCAACTGGGGATCAAATCTGTAGCCCAGGCAAGTGCTCTGACCGGGGATGGAACCCATGACCTTTTGGTGTATGGGACCAAGGCTCCAACCAACTGAGCCACCCAGCCAGGGCTAATCAAATGATCATCTGAAAGTAAGTCCTTTTGGTTAAGCCAGTTGTTTTCACTTGTCCCTACTATTTTAGGGGAAAAAAACTTATTCTTGAAATAGAAAATACATATTATTTCTGGGTTCAAAGCCCTGGCAGGTGTGGGCAAGGCAACCTGACAAGTGCATGTGTCCTGCCTAGGGAGCCCAGGTGTCCTCTAGACTTGGGCAGGCACAGTGGTGTGGTGCCAGAGCCCATGGAGAAGGAAACGGGAGAGTGGTTTCAGGTGGCAAAGGCTTTCTGAGCTGCCTGTCCTTGAACGCTGAGTGACAAAATGGCATCCCTCCCATTCATGGGGTGGCCACAGGCCAGGTGCTTCCCCACACTTGCCTTGCACGTTCCCTGGCCCCTTGATTGTGCTCAGAGAAGGTGCTGTCACACCTTCACTGCACAGAGACTCAGGCTGCAGGGGGAATATGGGGTCCCCAGCCTGTGCACTGACCTTCCAAAGGGCCCTTGGGTCCTCACGGCCATGCTTAGACACACGGAGCCGCAGCCTCCCCGAGGAGAGCAGGGCCCAGCAGCCTGCCCTGGGCATGGCAGAGGGGATTGCACCCCGCTGGCTGGAGGCCACTGCTGAGTGTGCAGCTGGCTGACAGCCCTAGGGAGTTGCTGCAGCAGACTGGCAGAGTGCTTGTCTTGGCCTCTTTCTCCTGCTCATGTGTGACTGAGATTCTGATGACATCTTCAGAGAATGGAGAAGAGGTAACATAACTCCTTTATTTTTCTGTACCTTTGAAAATTTTCCCAGGGGTGGTGGAGAAACAACTTTATGAGGGTGTGGGTTGAGAAATCCTCAGTAACTCCCTACTGAGGCAGTCGATGAAGTGGGTACTCCCCTGGTCAGGGTTAAGTGCTGTTTTCAACAGGAGCCTTCTGCACTGACACACCCCTAATCTATGATGTCACTGTATTCAAGGTTGTCTAGCTCGTTCTGTATGTGGTCGACGTACTGGTTGATTTCCTTCACTCGCCTGCGGTTCCGCATGATCTCATCCTTATGAATCTGAGGGGTGAACCAAAGCCCAGTATCACCGAGTCAGATACTTGGTTAGTATCTTTCACCAAGTCCAGTTTGGGGGGAAAAAAAGTAGTTCTCATGTTTTGCCCTATTTATCTATAGATTTGAGGTAAGAGAAAAATGATGAAGCAATGGGTTTTCAAGTCTGAATGAGTAACACAAAGTCTTCAGTGTAGAATTCTACAATTCTTAATTTTACCTCTTTCTTCATTTCTTATTGCAAAAGTATGTACTCTCTAAGGAAGATTTCCCATTTCCCCCTGGCTGACAGCTCGAGGAGCTGGTGCAGCCTGCTGGACTAGGGACATTTACTCACCTTGTCCACTAAATGTGTACACCAGGAGTTGACCCTGGTCACCAGCTCATCTTCTCGATTGTCGATCTTCAGGAGGTGGATGTCATGTGATGACCCAACAGCATTGACAACTGTGTCTTTGTCCACAAAAAGCTGGGGAGTGAAAGGTCACATGAGCGAGTGTGTCCTGTGACCCACTGAGCACATGTCAGCGTGCAGAAGAGGAAGGCACACCTGAGAGTCCCCTCACTGGTGGAGGCAGCACGAGCAGCAGCTGCCAGGCACCCAGGGGAGAGCCGGCCTTTGTGGGTGCACACTTTACTCACAGCATAGCTTCCGTTGACAGCCCTCTTGCCCCGAGCAGTGGTGAGTGTCCTGGGGAAAGGGTCCACCAGGGCACAGACTGCAGTCCTAGTTGGGAGCATGTTTCCTTCAGGGAGAAGGCAGACGCCCCCCCCCCCCCCAGGGGTGACGTACTTGGAACATCGGCTCTCACAGTGGTGCTCTCTTGGTTACCCTCAAGCACAACCCGCCTGGACACTGGCAGGCTGGGTGGAGAGCCTGATACTGGCTGAGGGTCTCAAGGCTGCTCTGAGGGCAAGAGGGCTCTGCAAAGAGGGGTGCTCCTTCCCCTGGCCGGTGGGGCTTGGTGGGTTTGGCATTGTCCTGCAAACTGAAAGGTTGTGAATTTGATTGATGGTGAGGCACATACCTAGGTTGCAGGTTTGGTCCCCAGTTGGGGTGTGTATAAGAGGCAACCATCGATGTTTCTCTCCTTCCCTTCCTCTCTAAATCAATAAGCATGTCCTTGGGTGGGGATAAAAAATAAATAACTAAATAGAAAACAGATGGGTGCTCCCCCCACATTGCTTCTCCACTGCTGCTCACATCAACCAAATCAAATCTCATATTGCACTTGGGGTCTCCTGCCTCCTTGCATTCCCAACCTTGTTTTCTGCTTTGTAAAAAGGTGTTGGAAACAACCTTCCTCTGCTAGGCCTGGCTGGTTCTAGGTGTTCACACTGGCTATTGTGTGCCCAGCACAGATGGAAATCAAGCGGAGCCATCGTTCCCCGAAGCAGTGGGAGGCTGGTGGGCCCTGAGCCAGCAGCCCTGCAGCCTGGGAGGGACGCCTGGGGAGCCAGACAGCCTGAGGCTGGAGGCACTGTGTTGAGGGGAGGACTGCAAGTGGGCACATGCTCGCTTCGTCCTTCTGTATAGCAGTCTCCAAAATACACCCTGGGGAATCCTGAGAGGTTAATATTTCTGTGAAAAACAGTCTTCTTTGGTCAAATACACTTGGGAGTGTGTATGGCCTGGGTCCCTCCTGGATGTCACTTGCACAGAGTGTCTCTGCAGAGTCTGGCAGAAAATAAGCTCTTTGTACTCATATTTGGCCACAGACTTCCCTTCAGAGTAATACCTGTCACTCTCGTATGGGATGCTGCTGTTGCACAGAGCCCCGTGTGGAAAAGCTGAGCCAGCCAATGTGGGGAAGGGGGGGTATTGGGGGGCCAGCACTGTCACATGGGAGAAACGGCAATAAGTCAGGAAGATCTTCCTCCAAGGCCAGGCTCTGGGGAGGGTTGTGTGGACCAGGGACATTTGCGTGGACCAAAGACACACACAGCCTGCCAGCCCATGAGCTTCAGGTCACGCCCTACAGCAGGTGCACCAGCTCCTGCAAATAGAGATGCAACGACAACACTGACCCAGCATGCGGAGGTCCTCATTCTTTGTTTTTAAAAGTGGGTCACAGCTGATCTCCTAAACCAAGAGAAATCATCCCCAAAGTCCGAGTATGCCGGAGACAGCTTTGGAAGCTGTGGGAAGTGAAGTCTGCTTGGAACAGACACAGTAAGAATTGGTTATAAAAAACTGGCATTTGTAAAATACAGTTGAAAGGAATCAGGTTTAAAGAAATGACTTTAAAATACAAGTTTTGAGTTGTTTCTGGACTCCAGGTGGCCTGGAATGGTGGCTACATCAGTTTGCCTTTAAAATAGCTCTTATGGGTAGACTATTCAAGGTTTCCCTCCCATTTCTGCAGGTCTAAAGTCCTGAGGTAGAGGCGGGAGTGTGTAGAATTTTTTAAGAGTGGCAGCCACTCCTGGCTCCTGAGCCACCCCACCCTGCTTTGTGGGCCTTGGGGCCATAAAGACACACTTCTTTTAAAGCGACTTTTTGGTGGTAGAAGGGGAGCTTTTGAGTGGGGTATAGCTGGTGCCCCCTCCGCAAGTTCTCCAAGATGCTGGTGGCTTGAGGATTTGTTGCCCTGTGCCCCTGCAGGATCAGATCATTCCATCACACACATCCTGGGTATCTGCTGACATTGCAGCCCCTCCACCACAGAGAAAGGCACAGGGATCTCACCTTTCCCAGTCCCTGCTTGGCCAGAGGGGTAATGCCCTGTGCTGCCAGCCCCTCTTCCAAAGTAGAGCCTTCAGGTCTCAGCCAGAGTCTTGTCCTGGGGCTGCTGGCCTGTGCCACACCCACTGTCAATTAATTAGCAGATTCCCTGGGACCTCACAAGCCCCTTTGCCTGCCTTGCAGCTGGATACCCACAGTGATGCTCCCAGCAGCAGGGCCCATCTGGCCTCCTGCTGCCCCCTGGATGTAGCAGCGGCTCCCTGCAGCACCAGGCTGGCTCTGGACCTGGGGCCCTACCAAGAGCAGCAGACTGCTGACTGCCTACTGACCTTGTGCAGGCAGCCATGCAGCCTGTGCCACCAGGGCCTCCCTTCTTGCCAGTGCTGGGTTCTCCCTGAGTATGTGGACTCTGCTTTTCCTTCCACAGTGCTACAGGGCTTTGAAACGCAGCTTTGGCCCTAAGCATGGCACAAACGTCATAATCACGCAGCTGAAGGAGAGTTTTAAAGAGGCCCTTATCCGTGTGACTCTTTACCATGATATACTCGTTGGTAATTACCCACCAGAAAGCAGACATTTTTCAGCCAAAGGCCCTGTCCCTCATCTGAACATTCCCATCCCGGTACAGGCTCAGTGGGCACTTGGTTAAAGGCTTTGAATCAAACTGCCTGTGCTCAACTCTACTGCTTACATGCTTGCTCTGTGTCTTAGGTGGGTTATTCTCATCTCTGTTCCTCAGTTTCCTCATATGTAAAAAGGAGTCACAATGGTTCTGATATTACTGTGTTGGTGTGGAGATGAGAAGAACAGATATGTGGCAAGTGCCTCTCAGCCAGCTGGACCACGAAGGCCTTGGGCACTGTCAATTATTTTTGTTATTATTACATTTGTCAGGGCATGCTTTTCTCCCTGAGAACAGTGTGCCGCACTTTGTCGTTTAAGGAGACATAAACAACAGTGTGGGGTCATGGCAATGTCTCTAGCTGCAGCTGCACATGGTCGCGAAAGGCCAGAGACTCACACTGACCTGCAGAGGGAAAGGCATCCAGTAGGTCCTGCTGGCTGCCCACTAACGGGTCTTAAAAGGGTGGCAGTGGACAGCACCCCTGTGAGGGCTCCCAGGAGACCCTTAGCTGAGAGGCGGAGCCCCGTTACCATAGTGCTGGGCCACAGGCAAGCTGGAACACCCAGGCAGTCTGCATTCATGGCTGCGGTTCTCCTCTCTCAGACTAGCCTGAGTCCAGACTCTGGTCCTCACAGGGGGTGTTACCTTGGGCAGTTCCCCTAACTGCACTGAGACGCAGTTGTTCCCAGTTCCCCAAGCTGCAGATGGGGGCGCTGACAGTCCCGAGGCCATGCAAACCCCCAGGGGCAGTACTGTGTATTGGGGCCAGTCCCTACCCAGGCAGCAGGCACTTGGTGTTTCTGAACCCCAGAAACAGGTGTGCGGTGGCGCCAGGCAGAGCGTCTGCCAGGAAAAGAGGGCAGCCGCAGGAAGCACCAGCCTGACCGCTTGTCTGCCACTGACCTTCGGGCCATCTTTTTTTGTGTTCCAGTCATCAGGGAGGAAGGTTTCAATCCTGTGCCTATTGGGTGCCACAGAGCTGACATCTGTGCCATGAGGAAATTCTGCCCACCTCTTGGTGGTCCATCTGGGGGGCTTCTGAGGGGCCCTCAGGCACAGCCTCCCCGCAGGGTGGGGGGAGGGAGCTTCTCCCTATGTTGGACAACATCATTTTGTGGGTGTTTAAGGAAGGCAGGCTGGTGACCCAGGGAGTGGCCCTGCCTCCATGCTCTGTGCTGGGCATCTGTCTCAGCCCAGAAGAGGCTGTAGGAGTGGTGCTGCTGGCCTTGGCACTGTTGGACTTAGCCCACACTGGGTAGTGGGATCTTGGCACCTCAGCTGGGCTGTGTGCCACCGCCCACCCTAGGAAAGAGTGTGGTAGGGAGGAGGCCATCCCTGCCTTTCCTTCATGGAGTGTGCATAGTCACAGAAACAAGGCAACATAAACCAAAGAGCTTAAACCTGGAATAAGGTCTCTGATGACGACAGGTGAGGTCTGTGACAGATCAGGGTTTTCTGGGAAGGTGGCGAGGGATGGCCTCTCCAAGGAGCTGGCATTTGAGCTGAGCACTGAATGACAAGGACAATCTAGACACAAGGAAACCCAAGGGAAGAGCATGTCGGGCAAAACATCATCTGGAAGGAGTGAGCCCTGGAGATGTGGGGGTGGCTCCAAGCCAGGGGCCAGGAGAGGCGGTGGCAGGGCAGCAGGCCTGCAGGGGAGTGGAAGGGAGGCCGGCATCCATGCACAGGCCAGTGCTGGTGGGATTTGCTGACAGCAGGGGTGGAGAGGAGAGACTGAGGCTGTAGTGAGCAAGGGAATGCAAGGTCCCTGACAAGACAGTGTCTGAGCCTGAGCCTGTCTGTGTCATCAGTGGCTCCTCAGGGACACAACTCACACTGCTCCTGCCCCACTGTAGGCCACCTGCAGGGCGGGGGGCCCATGCCGTGCCTGCTGGTCTGTGACCCTTCGTCACTGGGCACTCTGGTGTCAAGTTGGAGGCATCGTGGTGAATCAGAAACAGAGCTGGGGTGGGGGGTAGGTGCTCATTCTAGAGACTCAAGGGTTAAGAAGGACTTTGGGAGAAATTTCGGACCTTAGCTTCTATTTTAACTGCCTTTCCTAGAAAGTGCCAGAAGCCCCACAGAAATGAGCTTTTGGAAACCAAACTGTTTTTAGGTAGTTGGGACTTTATGAGTTTCTCTGTACTTGAGCCCCACTGAGTCTCCCACCAAGTGTTTTGTTTGCCTTTTTCACCTGCTGACCACCCTACAAAGGGGCGTATCATTACCTTTTGCAGATGAGGAAACTGAGGCCTCTGAGATTTTCAGGCTTCCTGGAGCCACAGAGCTGGGCTGGACTCTGCCTGGCTCCAGCACCTCCCCCTGCCCCCACACCCACCCCTCTTACCGCCCGGACTTCATCAGGCAGGTCCTCATCCAGCTCGCCCTTGACCATCTTCTCAAGAGCACTGATGGCAATCTCCAGGAGCTTCTCATGGTGGTGGTTCTCCAGGTCCCGACACTGTGCCATTGTGTGGCAGGAGTTAAGCAAAGGCCAGGGCTGGAGCAGGCCAGCCTCGGGATGAGGACAGACTCCATCATTGCTTTTGAGCACCAAGCCCAGGGCTGTCCTGCCTGTGCCCGCCCCATGCACACACTTGGCTATCACTGGCCATTGGCCCTGGGCTCCCAAGGGTCCCTCTATCCCACTGCCTCCTCACTTGACAGTAGACTGAGCCCTAGTCTTGGCTCTCACCCTTTCTCCCCACAGTGGCAGGAGAGGGCTGTAGTGTTATGAACAGGCCCCTCCCCTCTCCACGAGCTTCCCTACTCTGCTGTAGCCTGAGGGCCTTGTGGGACCCAGGACCCGGACTTTCTCTCAGGGCCTTTGCCCAGGCTGCTTCCTCTGCCTGCTAGTTCTCCCCACATTTCCACCCAGCACCTTGGGCTTTTCCTCAGTGGGCCCTCCCTCTGAGAGGCTGCCAGCCATGGCTCTAGGTCCCCTGCTACTCACTCCCTGCCTCTGTCACTTCCCTTTCCCTGTGGGACTGTGGGCCAGGAGGGCATGCCAGGGACTACTTCAGGGGTGGAACACAGCAGTTTGCCCCAAACCTGACAGGGCTGAGTTTAGGTGGCAGACGGTTGGTCATCCCCTAAATGTTGGCTCCTGACCCAGAAAATTAACCCGCCTGGCTCATTATGAATAACAAGTCAGTGTCCTCAACTTGGAGGTTGTCCAAGTGGTCCACATGGAGGGCAGGTGGTGATTCCAGGGTGTGGGCTCCCCTTGAGTATTAAGCATTTGAGAATAAGTGTTCCAAAATTTCTATTGCAAACCGTGCCCGCGCCCCCGCCCCCAACTCAGCCCTGCCCAGAACGGCAGCCCTGCAAGAGTAATGGGCACAAAGTTCGGACCCAGGAACATTCGTTGAACACCCGAAGTGGCCGCCAAACCTCTGTGCTTTGGAGGTGAGCTTTTCTCCTTGCTAGAAAACTAGAGGTTTTCCATCCCTCCAATTTCAAAGGTTGAGATTCCCCCTTAACTAGGTCCTGTGATGACTTGGATATCGTCTGGGTGAAGGGTATAGATCTTCCTGTAAAGCTACTTCTGGTAAGAAGCAAAGTGGCACGCTGTGATGGTCTCTGCCAATATGTTTAGAGCACTGGTGGCTGTGGCAGGGGCAGGCAGTGCCCCTACCAGTGGCCACCGGGGAGAGAATCCCACTCAGTGGCATCCTGGTTAGTTTGGGACAGAGCAGTACCCTTCCCTGTCTTTTATTAAAGCTGCAGGAGCCTCTGCCCCAGCCCCTGCTGCAGGCAGGGTGGCTGCAGTGAGGGCCAGGATACCTGCCCCTTTCCTGGGCCCAGGGGCCCCTCCCCATGGAAGGCCTCCAAGGAAAGGATATAGGCTTTGGACATTTTCAATAAAGAGCCCCACCAAGTCGATGATGTTCCTTTCAAACATGTTTATGGTCTCCTAGAAATGGTAAAAAACACAGTTAACGTGCATATTTAGACATGACCTTGACTGGCCTAGCCTCAGAGCCAAAGACTAGGCACCTAGCCTATAATGTGGCTGGCACCTCCTCTAGTCACAGACGTTCAAGATCAGGACCAGCCACCTTGGCCTTCCCTGGTAGGTATTTGTGAAGTGACCCCACTTCGCCCTCCTGACCTTGCCTCACAGCTCCATCACCTCCTGGCCATGTTGGTTCACTCACACTTTATCCAGGCCTTTGCCTGTTCCCTTTGCCAACACCCCCAGGCCCGGTCTTAACCCACGCCCCACCCCCACACACACAGAGCCCTGCTTCCTTAGGGCCCTCAGTGGTGTCTCTCTCACCTCCAGAGAAATAGGGAGGGGGTCAGTAAGAGCCAGACACCTGGGTCAGTGCCCCAGCCCCACCACCACGTGTAACTCCGGAAGGTCTCTGACCTCCCTGGGCCTCCACTTCCTCATTCGTACAATGGGCTTCCTGTGTAGGGCTTGTCTCCTGGAGTTCGTGGTAAATTGTAAAGAGGTCACTTCACACACAGTGCTCTGCAAGCTGCCTGGCCATTATCCCGGACCGTCCACACCCAGAGGGAGCCCCAGCAGAGCTGCATCCCAGTGCTTAGCAAGGCAGACAGCACCTACGTGGGACCTGATGTTGATGGAAGGAACCATGGCAGATGATGCACGGTGAAGCCTCTGACTGTGTGAGCCCAGGGTGGGGCACGCCCCCAATCCACTAGAATACAGGGACACAGGGACACAGGTGTGGGGAGTCTCGGCAAGCCTGAAGATGGTTTGCAAGCCAAGCCAACTGCACATACTATGATGCGTGTGAACACTGTTGTGATGAATAAAAACAACATCATTGAAAAGCATGACTGTGCTCAGAGGCTTTCAGGTGCTGTGCACAGATGTGACCATGACACCAGCACAGCTGTGCCTGGGTTCTGGGGAATTCTGCAACGCTGAGGAAGGGGGTCCCCCCACTTGAGGAGGTCCTGGGAGGGAGGCATTCCAAAGGAAAGAGCTCACCTGTCCTGCTGCCCGAGCATCACTTGCACTGTATTAAAGGTGAACCCAGGGCCTATCAGCAGGAAGCTGTCACCTCCCCAGAAGAGGAGAGCCTGGGAAGGTTCCCGCTTGAGGGTGGTTTTGGAGCTGCATGGGCAGCTTTGTTTGAATGAGCCTGGCAGTGCACGGTCATTCAAGTCTGTGCCCAGGGCACCAGCCTCACCTCCAGCTGCTCCACCAGCTGCATCTCTAGGGTCATGAGTGTGTTGAACAGCTCACTGATGTCCTTGCTGCACTCCGCTATCTTCTTCTCGAGGTTGCTCAGTTCAGACTCATCTCGGATGGCACTTAAGCTCTGGAAACAATGCCTGTGCTTTAGGGATCCATCACTGATCGTAATTAGTTAATGACAGGTGACAATTTGGTTTTGGAACCTGGGCTCTGGGTTTGGACTGCTCAGGCTCAAGAGGCAGCCCTGTGAGTTCGTAGAAGCTAATTCCCGCTCCAGGCCTCAAGACCATCAGAGCAGATGCTTGGGTTTTTGCTGGAGATGGCTTCGGAGTCTGACGAACTTGCATTTGACTCTTCTCTGAGTCACTTATTAGCAACAGGACCTTGAATGAACCCTTTGTACTCTCCAAGATTCAGTTTCTGCAGGCAAAGGGGAGAGAACCCGTGCTTCTTGGGAGCCATGGGGGTTGTCAGGTGGTAGGTGTGGGGCCTTGGCTCACAGTGGGGGCTGGACTCATAAAGGCTCAGACAGGGGGCCTGCTGCAGGCCCCAGGCAGGGGGAGATGCTGGGGAACTCGAGACAGGCTTGGTCTGTGGAAGGTGGTGCACCCACACCGAACTGCTCCAGTGGGCCCAGGGTGCGAGCAGCAAACAGAGCAGCCCATTTGGAGTGGAGGGCGCTCACAGGCTGCAGAGCATCCTAGGGTCTGCGTGCAGTGCTGAACACCTGCCTTTTGTTAGGGCCCGGACACTCGGCCGCTGGATACAATGTCAGCTTGTTTTCGTTGGTGTTTGGTATTAGCTGTGAGGGAAGAGTAACTGAATATGATTGGGGGTGGGGTTGTGAATGATACTTACAGCTGGAGAAGAATCAGGCTCAATCCCTACCTCAACCCTTACATGAAAGTAAATTCCTGACAGAACAAAGACTTAAATGTAAAAAGTAAAGCCATGAAAGTACTGAAAAAATGAGTTTTTAAAATAAATAATTTCAAAGTGGAAAAGCATAACTAGGAGGCTAATAAATTCTATCACATAAAAAATTTTAATACTCTGAATGGTAAAAGCACCATAGACAAAATGATAAGATAAAAATCAAACTGGGAAAATGATTTGCAGCTTATTTCACTGACTTAGCGCTAATTTCTCAATCTATAAAATGCTCTGACAAAGTCAATTTAAAAAAAAAAAGAGAGAAGTAGAGATAGAGAAGGAGAAATACCAAACAGGAAAACAGGTAAGAGCATATTATGAGAACAGTTCACAAATAAAGAATACAAATGTTTGTAAAAGATGTGGTGCTCGCTCCCACTTATGAGAAAATAAACATATACTCCTGTAAGGTCAGCAAAGATGAGAGCCTGCCACCACGGCCTGCTAAGAGAGCGGGCGGAGCGCAGAGGGTATAACCTCTGAACTAGTTACAGTGAGGCACAGAGCCTCCGGGACTTCATCCTGAGGGCCACACTTGCACCAGGGGATCCTCTGCAACACTGTTTGAAAGAGCAAGAGAGCAGAAAAACCTAACTGCCCATTGACAGGGACTGGCTTACTAAATTCTGACTCATCCATGCAATGAGATATTTTATGACTATTAAAGACATCAAGCCACTCAAGTGTTAGAAGGATCTCTGAGCTGCACAGATAAAATAGCAAAGTGTAGAACAGCAGACGCTATTCATCATGTACACATGTGTGCACACATGTACAAGCACACTCAGGCATGTGCACACATGCACACACACAGAGAGACACATGGTGTTGGAGGCAGACTGACTGTGCACCATGTGCACAGTTTGTCCTGTGTCTGTGCCTATGCTGGTACCACCTCTCCACTGCCAGGCACCACCTAGTTGCTAGAGTGGCTTCTACCACACAGGGACCATTGGTCACACATGTATGCTGGCTCCGCCCCATCTTGCAGGCCCATCTCAGACCCTTGGGGAGGTTACCTGTCTCACCAGTGAGGAAAGGGAGGCCAGCAGAGGGTCCCCGGTGAGGGCTCTGCCTGAGCAGCCCCTGCTAGGCCCCAAAAGGGGCGTCCTGACAGTCCCTGTCTAGTGGGGGTGGCGAGAGGGGGCAGAACCGGCTCTTGAAGAGGTCCCTCTCGGGCAGTGAACTGAGGGCTTCCTTAGGCCTGTGGAGTCTGTGGGCTTTCAAGACAGTAGGCTCAACTCAGCTGAGCACCGGAGGCCCAGGGAACACTGAGAAACACCAGTGCCAGGCACGTCCCTGGGCCAGCACCAGTGTGTTGTCAGGTCCCAGTGGTCGTTGCCTTGTTGGCTGTGTAAGAACCCTGGCTCTTGGCCCTTGGAGAGGAGCGCTCAGGTCCATCTATCTAACCCAGGCAGCCTCTTAGGGAGCCACTATGCAGACCATGCCGAAAGCAAGCGCAGCAGCTTTAGGGGCCTGGTGCAGCAGGAGGGTAGCGCTGGCAGTGCCCAGCCCACACCTGCCCCCCAGCAGCATTTGTGGCTGAGGGGCCAGGCCCCCACATGGGGCTTCAGGAGGAGCCAACTGGCTGACATCCAGGTGTCCCAAGTCCAGTGGCTACAGGGACCAGATAAGAAATATCAGGGCAGCTGTGCCAGACAGGGCCTGGACAACTGCAGACATGCCCCATCCAGAGGGGCCAGCGTCACTCGGGCCCTGAAGACAACTACCTCCGAGAAGTGAGCAACCACAATTTTTCTATGAGAGCCTCTGTTTTTCAAAGTTATTAGGATATTCAAAATGTTCTAAAACCCTCTGTAAGCCAAAGAAAACACACATGTGAGCCAAACGTGCTCCTTTGCTGACAGGTTTGGACTTCTGGGTGAAGGCACAACTCCCTCCCCACCCCTGGGTCTGGCTGGTGAGGTTCGTGGCACAGGGGTGGGGGACAGGGCCAGAGAGCAGGGCGTGGGTGGTGACCCGCCAGCGATCGCCAACTCCCTTAAATTGGGAGTTCTCAACCTGGAGTGTCTCCAGGGGCTCCCTGAAGCCCCTGGTGCTGTAGGCGAGTGTTCACATGGCCTTCCTTAGAATCTCAGAAGGGCTATGGCTTAGAGCAAGGTAGGAATCAGTCTTCCAAAGTAATGCTAACTGAGGAAACAATCCCAGTGAGTACACACAGCCCTGCCCGGGCACAGCTCAGCCTGAGTCGGGCTGGTCCTGCATGCCCCGGGTTCCTCCCTGGGTGAACCCCCTCCTCTTCTTCCTCCACTACCCTTGGATAACTCTTCTTTGTTCCATAAGTTCCAGCCTGAGATCAAGTGCCCCTGGAAACCCCCAAGGCTCCTTGCTGCCCACCGGGTTAGAGCTGACCTTTCTAGAGGGAAGGAGCCTGGGTGCCAGGCCCAGAGCAGGGCTCATAAAACAGTCATAATAGTAGTGGTGATAACAACACCATTTCAATAGTGATGATGATGTTACCTTGAGCCCTGGGGCTGTTTTAGGTAAAGGAGACCCATAGGCTCCAAGCCTGGCTCAGCCCTGGCCAGCAAAGGAGCTATGGCTTGTGGTGACAGGGGAAGGAGATACCTGGGGTCAGCCACTGAGCTGTGTGAGCTGTGGCAAATGGGGACAAAGACCATGGGCCTCAGGAGTCATCAGAGGGACAGGGGCTACAGCCCTCTGGTGGGGCCAGGCCCACCACAGGGCGGGCACCAGGGCAGGCAGCAGGGAGGGGTGGGAGGGCAGGCCTTACCAGCAGGTGCTTCTCCTCAAACTCTGCGATCCTGTGTTTGCCCCATTCCTGGTTCTCCTGGATGGCCTCCTGCACACACTCATTAAAGGTGTCAAGCTCCACTTTCCGCTTTTCCTGCTGTTTTAGTCCATACTCGAAAATGTTCAGGCAGATGATGACAAATTTGTCCTTGTAGGTTAGCGGCTGTTAAGGAAGCTTGAAGCTGTTTCCGGTGCCATGTGGTGGCAGCTCTTTCAAAGAGTGAAAAGCCCACGGTGGAGACTTGGAGAGGAAAGTGTCACTGGGGCACCTCCAGCCTTGGCTTGAGGGATTCAAGAACATGACCTTTGGCAGGGAGGGGGGGAGGGGGAAAGGAGGCAGGGCAACAGCAGGAGGCTGGAGAGCAGAGGACAAAGGAGACTAGGGGTTGGGGGGACCTGGGAGGGCCAGAGACCATGGGGAGCCAGCCGAAGACGTGTGTGTTTTTGCCTCTGCTGTGCTGTCTCGAAGGCACCTGTGTTGAGGGCCTGTCCTCAAGGGCCGCAGGTGCCCTGAGGGGAACTGTGGAGGTAGGGGGATGCAGGCTGGGAGCACGGAGATCCAGCTACTTCCTCTCTCTGGGCCTTGGACTCCTCACCCACACATGAAGACACGACAGAATCTACTGGATGGAGTCCTTGGGAAGACCTTGAGGCCAGGCAGGTGCTACAGCCTCAGTGCAAGCCCAGGCCGCCCAGCTGGAGTCCATCTGTCTGAGCCAGAGCCCTGCTCTTCAGCTTTTGCTCAGCCCCACACCCAACTGTCCCCTCCCCAACTCGTCTCGGAATGCTAAGTGTTTAAAAGTGAGTTTTTCAAACTGGTCCCTTTTCTCAGAGATGGTATCCCACAGGCACACTCTGTGACTCGTTGCTTCATCTCAGCACTCTTAGACCAGGAACCCCTCAATTCCATCCTGAGTCCCTCGGCTTATAGTTTACGCCAACCGACTGACCACTGCAATCATGGCCTTGAAAGCAAGTGCTGGCCACATCCTGTGGGCTCTGGCCAGCTGGGGAAAGAGTTCAAGCTCCTAGCCCCACGGACGAGGGTTAGACTCCCAGCTTTTAACTGTGTGACCTGGGACAAGTCAACCTCTCCAAGGTGAGCTTCCCCAACTATAAAATGTGATTACAGAGCAGCACCTGTCTAGTGTGCAAAGCAGCAGCAGGAACCGTAACTGTGGCTAAGGAAGGTCAGTGCCACAGATACACATTTCAGTCAAACTGCCGACCCAACTTACCCAGCACCAGACCCAGGCCCTGTGGGCCAGCCCTTGGCAAGCCAGGCGCCACTCCCTGTGCAGCTCTGCAGGCCTGGCTCTGCGTGCTCTGAAGTAGAGGTCTCACCTCCCAAGGGCTCAAAGACAGCTGGGGAAACCAAGGCCCAGAGTGGAAGGGGACTGGCTGCAGGCAGGCAGGGCCCATGGAGGCCCAGGCCTGGCCACAGAAGCCGCCGTGGCCCAGAAAGGATATGCTTCGAGGAGCTCTCCCGCACCATGCAGGCAGGCCAGCCTGTTACCCTCCACGTCCTCTGCGTACATGCTGTCAAACAGGAAGGGGCCATTCAGGTGCTCCACAAACGCAGCCTGTGTCAGAAGAAGCCAGAGGCACAGCTGAGCTTCGGCCCTGCACTTGGGCCTGTGGGGGGTGGACAACTGGCCCTCTGAGGAGGGCAAGGCGGGGAGGCACGTGCTGGGCTCAGGGCCTGGCACCTGGCAGGGAGGGCCAGAGGCATAAAATGGGCCAATTCACATGGCTTGGTCTGGCTTCAGGGGCAGGAGGGGTGGCGACTGTGGGGAGGAAGGCAGTTAGGGGCTCTGTTGTGAATCCAGGGCCATGTTGAGCCCGGGCTTGAACCTTCCTGGCCGCCATGAGGACCTGTCTGAGGAGTTCAGGAAAAGGTCCACTGCTCTGACAAATTGTTCCAGCACAGCCTCCCCAGCCCCTCGGAGGAGATAAATCAGGTGAGGTCTAGACTCAGGGGGAGCTGGTCCTGGGGGAAGGCAGTGGGCAGAGCAAGGCAGGGACAAGGCACCAGCTCCGTGGACAGAGCACAGTTTACATGCTTCCTCAGAGCTGGGTTGTGGCCACACAGCATCTGTTTTCAATCACCAGGCAGGTTTCAAGGGCTTGGGCCCTACTGACCTTTGGGGAGCCTGACCGGTGCCCTGTGGGCAGCACTTGGAGACAGGGCCAGGAGAGGTGGGGAGTAGGGCTCCTCTGGGCGAGGATACCTTGTGCTCCTCCAGTTTCTCCCGCCAGGCCTGCTCATCCTCCAGCCTAGCCTGAATCAGGCTCTCCCGGTGCTTCAGCTCATCAATGCTGAACTGGTGTTTAAGCTCCGCCAGCCCTTTCTGGGGGAATGGGAAGTGACATTGTTACCAGAAGATGTCTGGTCCCTTAGAGCCATGCTGGTCTCTGCCATCCTGTGGTGTCTCAAGAATGGGCAGAGGTGTGGATTAGAATGGCTCATGGTCCTGAAGCAGGTTAGTGAAAACCTAGGAAAATTCCCTGGCAAGTAGAAGGAGGAAACAGATAAATGACTGAACAAATGGATGGAAGAGCTGAGCAATTAACAGCCAGCTGACAAATCACAAGACTCTATCCTCACTAACCAAGGACACCTAAGAGCAGGTGGTTTAAACCACCTTAGGGAGATAGATAACAAAAAACCAGTTAGAGCCAGACTATCCAAGATACAAGTGGAACTAAGCATCATGCACTCATTTTAATATATTGATACACTAAACAACACCCGGAGCCTAGTGCATAGCCTGTTGAGATCCTCCCCTGGGACCGCCCCTAGGAGTCCCACCTATAGAAAACATGAATAGAGAACCCCTCAGGACAAAGGACGCCTGCACGCTCCCTTTGTTGAACACACCTGTGCCCCTCTTTCCTCAGGTGTGTACTTTGCTTCTTCTATCCCAAGCCTGAAGGGTCCCAACAAGACCTGCACCCAGGAGAGCAACAGGCAACGGCAACTCATTCCAGGCTTATCCACTGATCCTGTCTCCAGGGGCCCCTCCTTTGCCACAATGTTCCAAACTTTTATAAACTTACTCTCACTTTCACTCTGGCAAGGAAGCTGTCCAGTAACAGCCCTTTTCAAGTGTCTTGGGGAGATTAGGGAAGGACAAAGGGGGGTGCAGAGGCAGCACAGGCAGGCCAAGGACCTGTGAAACAACCCAACGCTGGGGGCCACAGGGTAAGTGGAGGCCTGCAAGGCCAGTGTTCTAGCTCTCTTTTATGGATGCATGACAGGAGAGAGGTAAAGTGAGTCACCTGAGTCACAGGCTTGGTCACAAATGTCTCGGCACTTGGCTCTGTGCCCTGCTACCTGCTAGCCTTCCTCACACACCCAGCTCATCCCTTGTGCCTGCAGGGGGTGCTGGTGTCCCTAGGGCTTGGTCCTCGCCCTTCTGGGCTCACTCTCTGCACCCCAGGTGTGTAGTCTTCAACTACAAGGTCCTTTGTCCTCTGACAACACTCGGGTCTTGAGACTTCTGCCTAGATGGAGGCATAGGTAGAAGCACTGCACCTTCTCACACAACCAAGTTTAAAAACAATAAAGTTTTAGCAACAAAAATGCGGCCAAACCACAGAAAATTGAACTATACGGAAGTCTGACAACAACGAAACACTTCAGCCAAACTGTTAGAGGGGCAGAGCCAGCAGCAGAGTGGGATCAGGCAGGAAAGATCCACCGGACTGACCTGGGCGTGCAACCCAGGAGCGCCAGCAGCCGTGGGTGGATCCCAGGTGTGGAGAAGCGGGAAGACCCACTCAGAATGCAAGGTGGAGGACCCATTGTGGGTAGACCGTGGTCACACATTTGTATGCAGATAAACTGGTGAAGGAGCGCGGTGGTGAGACGGACTCAGCAGGCCCCAGCAGCAGGAAGTGGCAGAGGAAACCGCCATTGTCCCTCTCTGACCCTGTCCCCACAACAGGTCACAAACCAGCGACCTGGGTGGCCCCGCCCTGGTGAACAACTAAGGCTCTGCTCCACATATATAACAGGCAGAAACAGATCAAAACATGGCTCAAGAACAACTCAGAGCCCCAGAGCCCATAAATCTAAGCAACGAAGAAATAGGCAAACTTTCAGATGCACAGTTCAAAACACTGGTGATCAGGATGCTCACAGAACTGGTTGATTATATTCACAAATTAGAGGAACATATGGAAGCTAAACTAATTGAAATGAATGGAAATGCACAGGAAACCAATAGTAATGGAAAGGAAACTGGGACACAAATCAAAGGAGTGGACCAGAAAGAGGAAAAAAAAATGACCAAACAGAAAAATATGAAGAAACAAGAATTCAAAAAAATGAGGAGAGGCTTAGGAAACTTCAGGACATCTTTAAACGTTCCAACATCCGAATTATAGGGGTACCAGAAGGGGAAGAGGAACAGCCACCAGTGGAAAACTTATTTGAACAAATAATAAAGGAGAACTTCCCCAATCTGGCAAAGGAAATAGACTTCCAGGAAATCCAGGAAGCTCAGAGAGTCCCAAAGAAGTTGGACCCAAGAAGGGACACACCAAGGCACATCATCATTATATTAGCCAAGATTAAAATGAAGGAGAGAATCCTAGAAGCAGCAAGAGCTAAGGGGACAGTCACCTACAAAGGAGTTCCCATCAAACTGTCAGCTGATTTCTCAAAAGAGACCTTACAGGCAAGAAGGGGCTGGAAAGAGGTATTTCAAGTCATGAAATCCAAAGACCTACAACCAAGATTACTCTATCCAGCAAAACTCTCATTTAGAATGGAAGGACGGTTAAAGTGCTTCTCAGATAAGATCAAATTCAAGGAGTTCATCATCACCAAGCCCTTATTATATGAAATGTTAAAGGGACTTACCTAAGAAAAAGAAGATAAAAAAGATGAACAGTGAAAGGACAGCAGACTCACAGTTATTAAGAACCACACCTAAAACAAAAGCAAACTAAGAGGACAGCTAGATCAGGAGCAGAACCATAGAAATGAAGATCATATGGAGGGTTAGCAGCAGGGGAGTGGGAGGAGGAGAAGGGGGGAGAAGGTACAGAAAATAAGTAGCATAGATGGTAGGTAGAAAATAGATAGGGGGGAGGGCAAGAATAGTATGGGAAATATAGAATCTAAAGAACTTGAGACACGTGAACATATAAACTAAAGGGGGAGAATTTGGTGGGAGGGGGTATGCAGAGTGGAGGGGAATGAAGGAGGGAAATAGAACAATTGTAATGGCATAATCAATAAAATATATTTAAAAAAAACACTTGGGTCTTTATGTCCAGCCCAGACCCCAACTGTGAGTGCCAGGCATAAGCTCCAGATGGTCTCATATCCCCTGGCTCCCTCAAGAGCCAGCTCATCCTGTCCAACATGCATCTCTGTCCTCCCTGGGTTCCACTGAGGTGAGTGACCCCCGGACGGCCCGTACCCAAGCCAGGGACCTGGGAGCATCCTGGGCCTCAGACCCAGGATGTGCCCAGGCCTGTCTGTGCTACCTTCTAGAAGGTTGTCACATCATCTCTTGCCAGTGATGCAGGATGGTAAGATGCCAGGAATATTCCTTGGCCAGTGGACTAGGGAAACTGAGACAGATGGCTGAACACAGTGGCTGAGCAGTTCACAGCTGATACAGATGGTCACCCCCTCTGGAGACAACATTTAGGCCTCAGCTGTGTTTCAGCTCCAGGCCCAGAAAAGCAGTAAAACCAGGTGGGCGAGGCCAGGACCAGCTGCGATGACTAACGGTCCCCTGAGAGGACACACCTGGAAAAGCTGGTGACTCTTCTATGGAGATCCTCCCCTGAGAGCTCCCCTAAACTCCCAGCCTTTAAAAACCCTCCAGACGAAGAACCCAGAGTTCGCTCTCCCTCCTGGGAGCAGGCCCACACCTTTTATTTCCGCCCTCTTCTTCCCCTACAGGCGTGCATCTCCTAAAGAGACTTGCAGCCGGGGGAGCAGTACACAGTGGCAGCTCCTCCCAGGCCAATCCTCTGCACCTGTCCCCAGGGCTCCTTGTCTCTGGCTTCCCAGTGAGCTAAAGCAGCCTAGCCTGGGCTTTCCTGCTGCTTCTTCTAAGCCTTTTCTTGTTTCACTGTCTGCTTCACTGTTTATGCTTTAAAACATGTCTCAAAATCACCTGGGCTTATGTGGTGAACTGTTTCCTGCATGAAGTCAAGAGCCCACACACTACCAGTTAGCCCTAGGCAGACCCATCCTAGGTAGGTCCCCTTTCTGGTAATACCAGGACCCCCATCTCAACCTCCTAGCTGGCCTCCCCTATGCACCCTGTCACTGTCCAGTGTGTCCACCCCTCCTCCAAGCAACTAGAGCAATCTGGTAAATGCAAATCTGAACTTGCCAGTCCCTAACTTCCCTTTATGGCTTACTCTTGGGCATAGGGTAGTGACAAGCTCCTGTTCTGGCCTGCAAGGTCCTGCCTGACTACCCCCGCCCAGCCTTCTCTCCAGCCATTCGAGCTCCAGACCCTGGCTGCTCACAGTGCTGCCTCCTGACCCAGGGCCTTTGCCTGTGCTCTGCTTTCTGGCTTTGCCCAGTCAACTCCTACCCATCCTGTGGACCCATCTCAAAACCACTTCCTTGGGGAAGCCACCCAATAACCACAACCCCCCTGTACATCTCTCTCAGCCCCTACTCTGCCCTCCTGGCATTTCCATGCATCTCTGGGAAGATTCACTGTCGGCCTCCCTTCCCAGTGTGCTGGCACCGTAAGAGAAGGCAGGGACTTACTCTATAGCCTCAGAGCCTGAGCTTACCTCTCACTGCCCCGTGCGGCCCAGTTCCAATCAAACACAATGTCAGGACACATATCGGAATAATGATATGCCTTAACATGGTGCCTTGCCATGCACTACACAGAAGTGAGCTGCTTGTGGCCAGCATGGGGGCCAGTGTGGCCCTTGTTGTGGCCTCTCCTGGGAGGCTCTCCAGGAGGGAGAGAGCTGTGCAGCTCCAGGCCAGGAGCCACTCTTCCCTCACATACCTGACCAGCACGGCCATGCTGGTCCTGTGCAAAGAGAGCCCTCCCTTCATCCATCCCAATCTCGGTCTGCTCGGGCCTGATGAACCTGCTGACCTCACCCTGACCACTCCCCGGAGACCCTGCCCACCACAAAGGTCCACAGGCACCTGTGGTGCAGGCCGACCTTGCTGTGCCCTGAGAGTTTCGCTGAGTGGCCCCAGTGCCAGCACTGGCACTGAGTGTGAATCTGTTTCAGTCTGGTGAACAACACTCATCCCTACCTGGTGACTCACTGAGAACCTACCTCATGCAACCCACACACCACCAGAGGCCCTTTCAGTGATGAACCTAATAGGCAGCCACCAGGCAGAAGCAGATGTTGGGGAGTCTTGGACCTTTTGCTGACCTGCTCCTGGGGACTGGTGCTGGTGAAAGCCAACCTCGGTGTCAATTTCCTGCCATGCAGACCCAGGCCCAGCAGAGGCAGCCACAAACTGTGGATTGCTTTGTGGCTCCAAACAGGTAGCCCAGGGCCAGTCACAGGCAGTGCCTAACATGACCTGCACTGGATCCCTCCTAAGAGGCCCCAGAGTCAACACACCTGCTGGCAGGATTCGGACCACATCAGAACAGGACCCAATTTGCTCCACAAGGGGCACACCCAAAGGCGGATCTCATCAGACACAGACCCTGCTGGGGTGAATTCTACTTCACAGGGTCAGCCCAGCACGGCATCTTGTGGTTCTCTGTGGTTGGGTCAGTCCTCACAGTTGGCCAGCCCAGTGTCAACCCCACCCACGGATGAGCCAACAGCAATCAAGACTCAACTACCATAGCAGCGTTCACAGAACCCCTACAAGGGACATTCGTGGAGCACCCAGCTTAGGTGATCAGGTGCCACTGAGCCCCACAGGACACCTACCACATAAGACCTCATGCCAAGACCAGGAGGCGCGGCAGCTCTGCCTAACACAGAAACAACTAGAGAGAGGCAGCCAGAACGAGGAGACAAAGAAACAGGCCCCAAATGAAAGAAACAGAGGACTCCCCTCACAACGGTTGTGAGAGGCCCAGCGGTGGCACACGGACAGAGCCTGGGCACTGTGAGCAGGCGCTCTACAGTGACCTCAAGGGGCCTGCTAGAATCGCTCTGACAGACAGGTAAGAGTAAGGAGGAGGGAACTGCCCTTTCTCTCTGCCTCAGTGTCCCTTTCTGTGAAACGAGGGGACCTGAAGACTGTCTCACAGAACTGGGAGACCCAGAGAGAGATGCTTGCCATGTGGTCGTCGATGTGCCGGGAGTCCAGGTACACGAGGTCAGGAAGGTAGGCCAAGATGAACATGTTATAATCTTCTGACTCGGCGACAGGGTTCCCAGAGAGGCTTAGCGCTCGTAAGTCCTTGAACTGCCGCAGGTAGATGATCTGGGGAGGAGAGGGGGATGGTCCCTTTTCTTGGCTGCCACGGATCTGAAAACATCCCTGGCAGTCTCTCTCTGGCACCATGGCAGAGTTTGCAGCCAGGCTATAACCGCTTCTGCACTGGGTGAAGTGACAGGGGACGAGGGTGCTTACGGGGGTCCAGGCTGGATGGCTATACCAAAGCCTTTGGTCAGGCCTGGGCTTTCCAAAGAATCAGAAGAACTGAGTTCAAATGCTAGCTGTGAGACAGACAAGTTACTAAATATGGGTGAGCCTCAACTTCCTCATCTACAAAATGGGTATGAGGATGTTATGTAATACATGTGTTGTAAGAATCAAATGAAATAACCTATGAAATGCATGTGGGAGAGTGCCTGACACCTACTCAGGAAATGGTAGTAGTGTTATCATTATTATTGGTCACACAGAATAGGCGTGTGTTTTTAGATCATAAAGCCCTGTGGGAAAAGTCCAAATCTCTTAAATTAAATGGAACCAAATTTATAGTTAATCTTGAATCAACTGGCTAATAGCTAGTAGAACATTCCACTAACTGCTGTTTCCTTTTCCTACACTCAATTTTTATTAAAACGAGGGGAAAGTCAACCATACAGTTAATGCAGGCATGCCTCATTTTCACTGTCTGTGCTTTGCAGCTGTGTTTTCTGCAAGTTGAAGGTCTGCAGCAATCCTGTGTTGACCAAGTCTATCAGCACCATTTTTCCAACAGCATTTGCTCACTTTGTGTCTCTGTGTCACATCTTGGTAATTCTCACAATATTTCAAATTGTATTATTATTACTATTATACTTGTTATGATGTGCAATCAATGATCTTTAATGTTGCCATTGTAATTGCTTTGGGGCACCACAAGCCACACCCATAAAAGACAGTGAACTTAATAAATGAAGTGAGTGTTCTGATTGCTCCGCCGACTGCCTGCTCCCATCTCTCCTCCTCTCCTTGGGGCTCCCTATTCCCTGAGACCCAGCAATATTGAAATTAGGCCAATTAATACCCTGTAAGTGTTCAGGTGGAGTGCAGAGTCACATGTCTCTCACTTTAAAACAAAAGCTAGAAATGATTAAGCTTAGCGAGGAAGGAAAGCTAAGACAGGCCGAAAGCTAGGCCTCTTGTGCCAAACAGTTAGCCAAGTTGTGAATGCAAAGGAAAAGCTACTCCAGGGAATACATGAATGATAAGAAATTGAAACAACTTTATTTAAGCTGATAGGAAGAAAGTTTTGGTAGGTTGGATAGAAAAGTAAACTACCCCAAAATTCCCTTAAGTCACAGGTGGCAACCACAAGGCCCGTGGGCCGAATCCAGCCCTCTACTATGTTTTACTAGGCCCGGAATCTTGTTTCTACCCAGCGGCAGTGTTGAGCTCCTTGCCCCTAGTTAAGGAGTAGTTACATTTATACAGTCCTAAAATTACACTTGGCCCTTTGAAGGCAACTTTGAGACTGATGTGGTCCCCAGTGAAAATGAGTTTGACAGCCCTGCCTTAAGTCAAAGCCTAATACAGAACGAGATTCTCTCTTCAATTCTGCGAAGACTAGGAGAAGTGAGGAAACTGCAGAAGAAAATTTGGAAGCTAGCAGAGGCTGGTTTGTGAGGTTTAAGGGAAAGAAGCCATTTCCATAACATAAAAGTGCAAGGTGAAGCAGCAAGTGCTGATGTGGGAGCTGCAGCAAGGTAACCAAAAGATCTAAGATAGTAAATGAAGGCGGTTACACTAAACAACCTATTTTCATTGTAGACAAGCCTTATATTAGAAGAGGACACCATCTAGGACTTTCATAGTCAGAGAGGAGAAGTCAGTGCCTGGCTTCAAACCTTCAAAGGACAGGCTGACTTTCTTGTTAGCTGCTAATGCAGCTGGTGACTTTAGGTTGAAGTCAGTGCTCATTTTCCATTCCAAACATACTAAGACCCTTAACAATTATGTTAAATTACTCTGCCTGTGCTCTATAAATGGAACAACAAAACCTAGATGACAGCACATGTGTTTACAACATAGTTCACTGAATAATTTAAGTGCACTATTATGATCTACTGCTCAGAAGAGATTCCTTCCAAGGTATTACTGCTCACTGACAATGCACCTGGTCACCCAAGAGCTCTGATGGAGGTAGGTGTACAATGACGTTGGTGTTGTTTTCATGCCTGCTAACATAGCATCCATGCCACAGCCCAGGGGTCAAGGAGTAATTTTGACTTCCAAGTCTTTTTTTTTAATATATTTTAATTTTTTTATTGATTATGCTGTTACAGTTGTTCTATTCCCCCTTTCATTCCCCTCCACCCTACCCCCCATCCCCACCATTACTCCCCCTTTAGTTTATGATCATGTGTCTCAGGTCCTTTAGATTCTATATTTCCCATGCTATTCTTGCCCCCCCATCTATTTTCTATCTACTGTCTATGCTACTTATTTTCTGAACCTTCTCCCCCCTTCTCCTCCTCCCACTCCCCTGTTGCTAACCCTCCTTGAGATCTTCATTTCTGTTTCCATTCCTGATCTAGCTGTCCTTTTAGTTTGCTTTTGTTTTAGGTGTGGTTGTTAATAACTGTGAGTTTGCTGTCCTTTCACTGTTCATGTTTCTTTAACTTCTTTTTCTTAGGTAAGTCCCTTTAACATTTCATATAATAAGGGCTTGGTGATGATGAACTCCTTGAATTTGGTCTTATCTGAGAAGCACCTTATCTGTCCTTCCATTCTAAATGAAAGTTTTGCTGGATAGAGCAATCTTGGTTGTAGGTCTTTGGATTTCATGACTTGGAATACCTCTTTCCAGCCCCTTCTTGCCTGTAATGTCTCTTTTGAGAAATCCACTGACAGTCTGATGGGGACTCCTTTGTAGGTGACTGTCTCCTTAGCTCTTGCTGCTTCTAGGATTCTCTCCTTCATTTGAATCTTGGCTGATGTAATGATGATGTGCCTTGGTGTGTTCCTTCTTGGGTCCAACTTCTTTGGTATTCTCTGAGCTTCCTGGATTTCCTGGAAGTCTATTTCCTTTGCCAGATTGGGGAAATTCTCCTTTATTTTTGTTCAAATAAGTTTTCCACTGGTGGCTGTGCCTTTCCCCCTTCTGGTACCCCTATAATTCGGATGTTGGAGCGTTTAAAGATGTCCTGGAGGTTCCTAAGACTCTCCTCATTTTTTTGAATTCTTGCTTCTTCACTCTTTTCTGTTTGGCCATTATTTGCTTTCTTCTGGTCCACTCCATTGATTTGAGTCCCAGTTTCCTTTTCATTGCTATTGGTGTCCTGTGCAATTCCATTCATTTCAATTAGTTTCGCCTTCATATATTTGTCTAATTTGTGGCTATAATCAACCAGTTCTGTGAGGATCCTGATCACCAGTGTTTTAAATTGTGCGTCTGAGAGTTTTGCTATTTCTTCATTGCTTAGATCTATGGGCTCTGGGGCTTTGAGATATTCTTGCGACATTTTTGGTCTGTTCTGGCCCTTTAAGTGTGAGAAGCGGTGCTTTGGACTCCCAGGTCGCTGGGTTGTGACGCTATATGTGGGGGCGTGGTCAGAGCGGGGAAATGGCGACCCCCCTCTGCTGTTTCTCACAGCTGGGTGAGGATCAGCGCATTAGGTGGTTCACCTGGGCCGGGCCACTCAGAGTCGCTGGGTTATGACGCTGTATGTGGAGGTGGGGTCAGAGCAGGGAAATGGCGGCGCCCTCCCTGCCGCTAGCCGTGGGGACCCGCCCGGCCCCGGTCCAACAGCCCAATCCCTCTCCTGTCCGCCCACGCACAAATGCGCGACCACAGTCAACACGCAGCACCGCTCCCCGCTGTCTCCCCCATGGTTGCTCGCTCGGTCGCTCACTAGGTCCAACCCTGCGCCTGGATTCCGCACGTATGGATTCCACGTGCTTGAGTCCGTCCGACCGAGTTTTCCTGTGCAACCCCGTTTCACCAGCCGCTGGTTTCGCCCCTTATCGGTCAGGCTGAAGAATTTGTTGTTAACGGACTTCCGAAAAGTTCAATTTTCCGTGTTCTGGCTGTGTTTTCTGTTACTAATATTTAGTTGTCTCTCAACTTGGTTGTGTCAAGTCTTTTTTTAAAATATGTTTTATTGATTATACCATTACAGTTGTCCCATTTCCACCCCCTTCATTCCCCTCCCCCCTTCACACCCCCTCCCCCCAAATACCCCCACTTTAGTTTATGTCCATGTGTCACAAGTTCTTTAGATTCAATATTTCCCATACTATTCTTGCCTTCTCCACTATTTTCTACCTACCGTCTATGCTACTCATTCTCTGTACCTTCTCCCCCCTTCTCCTCCTCCCTGCTGCTAACCCTCAATGTGATCTTCATTTCTATGGTTCTGCTCCTGATCTAGCTATCCTCTTAGTTTGCTTTTGTTTTAGGTGTGGTTCTTAATAACTGTGAGTCTGCTGTCCTTTCACTGTTCATCTTTTTTATCTTCTTTTTCTTAGGTAAGTTCCTTTAACATTTCACATAATAAGGGCTTGGTGATGATGAACTCCTTAAATTTGACCTTATCTGAGAAGCACTTTCTCTGCCCTTCCATTCTAAATGAAAGCTTTGCTGGATAGAGTAATCTTGGTTGTAGGTCTTTGGATTTCATGACTTGAAATACCTCTTTCCAGCCCCTTCTTGCCTGTAAGGTCTCTTTTGAGAAATCAGCTGACAGTTTTATGGGAACTCCTTTGTAGGTGACTGTCCCCTTAGCTCTTGCTGCTTCTAGGATTCTCTCCTTCATTTTAATCTTGGCTAATGTATTGATGATGTGCCTTGGTGTGTTCCTTCTTGGGTCCAACTTCTTTGGGACTCTCTGAGCTTCCTGGATTTCCTGGAAGTCTATTTCCTTTGCCAGATTGGGGAAGTTCTCCTTTATTATTTGTTCAAATAAGTTTTCTACTTGTTGCTCTTCCTCTTCCAACTTCCCCTTCTGGATATTGGAACGTTTTAAGATGTCCTAAATGTTCCTAAGCCTCTCCTCATTTTTTTGGATTCT